AATTGTTTTTTTCCAACTACTGTATTTAACAAATAACTCATACACAGGTTGAAATCATGAATCGATTGAAGCTAGACCACCATGGGAAACCTGGAAGCACTGGACGGCCGTTTCGTCCTAGTGTGGGACTCAGTGGTCTAGCGGTTAAGTGCTCGCGCACGAAACCAGTAGGTCCTGGGTTCGGATCCCGCGGGGTGCGGGATCATGGATGCGCACTGCTGAGGAGTCCCATACCAGGACGAACGGCCGTCCAGTGCTTCCAAATTTTCCATGATGGTCTAGCTTTAATTGACTCATGTTTTCAACCTGTGAAATTTCTAAAATCTCCACAAAACCCATTCTGAAAATAACTCATACATTGAGAAACAATAAATACTAACTATTTATTGGTTTTATACATCAATTTTCATTAGAATTACTCATCCATTTATTGAGATATATTTCAATAAATAATAAAACTAAATTAAAATAATTATAATAAAACTGACAGAGAAACATTTCAGAAATTTTATAGTTGAATTCATGAGTCAATTAAAACTAGACTACCATATAAAACCTGGAAGCACTGGATGGCCGTTTCCTCACAGTATGTGACTCCTCAGCAGTGCGCATCTACAATCCCTCTCGGTGAACACAAAATCAGGACCTTCGGTCTCGTGCATAAATGCTTAACCACTAGATCACTGAACCAGCCGGCATCTAGTGGTGTTAATGTCTAACTTCAACTAATTCACTAAATTGAGTGACACATCCACCATTGTCTTCGCTGAGTTATTATCTCATAACAGACCCGTTTAAACTCCACTGGTCACTTCTCACTTGATCATCATGGTGGTTTAACTCATGAATTCAACAATAAAAATTACTAAAACCTCAAAAAAACCTCTCCTGATAATAAACATTTTGAAGTTTGTATTTATTATTCGATAATTTAAGTTTATGGAGATTTGTATCTCATGTGGGTGATCTTAATTGAATGGTGTTTTGTGAGCTGTATAATTTAGTAATTTAGTATTTCTGGACAATATCCTCATTGCAAACTACAGATAAATGTAAGCTATTCGAATTTCTCCACATATAACTGACAGTCTGTTCCAACGATCTTGATCTTGATTGATTGATTGATTGATTGTTGTTTCTTGTCCATTCACTGTCTGATTATTTATTTTGCTTGTTTTTCCCTCTAATCTGATTTTCGATACAATAGTTATCCATGATTTTTCTAATTGATTGATAAGTATATTAGTTAGTGATTGACTTGATTAACACGCTTCTTAAAGTTCTCGATTCTGCCTTGTATTCCCCTTGTCCAAAATCCTAAATATAAATCCGACAAGATTTCTCTCTAGTTACATTTCACTCATCTTATTTCAAGATTTAATACAAAGGATGTTTTTTTCTAAAAACTATTACCAAAACCATTGATTCACTAGTGTTATTTGACATGTTGAATTTAGTATTTTTGGAGATAATCTTTGATTAATACAAATTAGTAATCATATGCAATGGTCAGGGGATTATGATTTCTTGTAAAGTTCATATATTATTTAAAATTTGGATGGGGATCATGGACCGATTGATGTTAGATTACCATTGAAAACCTGAAAGCACTGAACGAACGTTTCATCTCATTATGGGTCTCCTCAGCAGTGAGTATCCATGATCCCGCTAGTGGGATTCAATCTAAAACTTAATAATCTTCACAACCCCTATACTGATATTATTTAAATGACATTTTTCTATTATCATGATCTTAATACCATCTCTGAAAATTCATTATATTATGGAACTCAAATAGTAGATTTGTGAAAAATGTTTTTCGTATAAATCAAACCTAAATAGTATTTTGGATCCAGATGAAGAAAAAAACCTAATTTGTTTCCAAAATGTCTTGATTGTAATTGTATTTGTAAGGATTATTTCATCACTAGTAACTTTGTATGTTTTTACTTTATGTTAAATTAATTATGAAATTAACATGAAGATCAGCTAAAACTTTATGTGTTTAGGACATGTTTTATCTTTCTGTCAGGTTAATTATAAAATAATTCAAAAGGAACAATAAATGTTAGAAGTAAATATGAACTGAACTGGAATAATAAACCTTAGAAATGAAAATTTCGTGCATTAGTTGAAGTTAGAGATTAACACCTTTGGATGCCGGCTGGTTCAGTGGTCTAGTGATTAAGCGCTCACGCGCGATACTGAAAGTTGCTGGGTTTGAAACCCGCGAGGCGGAATCGGGGATGCGCACTGCTGAGGAGTCTCATACTATGACAAAACGGCCGTCCAGTGCTTCCGGGTTTTCCATAGTGGTCTAGCTTTAATTGACTCATGATCTCAACTATTGAAAATATAAAGTATTATTTATTGCCTAAAGTTCATAAATTCCAACTCCCGGTTTACATGCTCAGACATCGCTTCACCTAGTTCAGTTTAAATAAATAGTATTTCAAAAATAATAACAAAATGTATGTTAATTTACAAGCATTGTCAGATTAATATAAAAACCAATATTAGATGTTTGGTTAAGTTGTTTCAAAGGATATGGTTCGTAAATTGTTTTGTGAGGATATATGTCCCATGAAGTGAAATAATATTAGTGAGCAGTTTGGATTCACTTATTCTAAATTAGAGAATTGAACCGTTTTGTCATAGTATGAATTGTGTAACTAGGCGAAATTTCAATATTGTTGCAAAATAATTATAATCACTTGCAACTAGAGAAACATAACAAAAACTGACAGGGTAGAACAATAACGGCAAACAATAATGTGATAGGTTTTCCCTTATTCATGTGTTAGGTTGTTTCACGTTCTAATGTTTTGGATAAATATAACTTAAATGAATTAGATCAACCAGGGATAAGTTTAAAATATCCGCAAAAAATGAAGTTCGAACAGTATGTTCAGTATTAATAAACATTTACCAATGGAATGTGGTCGATTCACGATTATGAGTATTTCTTAAGCAGTGTCAGGCGAGATGTGATTATTAAGGTAGTAAACAGATGAAGATTTCATGGACAGATTGTTATAAACTATTCCATAGTTACAGAAACAATCAGATAACCTTATCACATCAATAAAATTTACCTCTCAAAGCCCAGTATATGAGCTTATCTAAACATGGTTACTGAATTACACAGGAATATAATCTGTAAACTTTTTCATATATTTTTATGCGTTGAGTACAGAACATTAATACTATAACTAGAAATTAGTCTTTTGTTCGAAGTTCTTCAAAATCGTTTGAACTTGTCTATGCTTCAATACAAGTATCCCACTGGCATTGTATTTATAATATGCTTATTATAAGCATTTCATTTTACTTTTCAGTCTAGTAGAATATAATATATTTTCTTTAAATTTATTCCAATAATGAGAAATTCTTTAACCTATATGATTTTGTGTACAGGGATTTGTGCAGATTGGAGTATTTCCAAATTTTAATACACAAGTTTATCTAAAACAAACCTGGTAGCATTATACTGGCGTCTCATCCTAGTATGAGACTCCTCAGAAGTGCGCATCCACAATTCCACACCAACTGAACTCGAACCTAGGACATTCGTTCTCTTGCATGAATACTTAACCTACAGACAAATGAACTAGTATCAAACAGTGTTAATGTCTAACATCAATCAGTTCATGATATTGTGTAACCCTTCATCTATTACCTGATATGGATATATGTGTCATGTTATAGATGAGTAAATTTTGAATGACATACTGATGTCACTATGCTATTCTAATGAATAAATAACCGCTTTCATAATCCACTTATTGATATCGTCAGTCAGTCAGTCAGTCAGTCAGTCAGTCAGTCAGTCAGTCAGTCAGTCAGTCAGTCAGTCAGTCAGTCAGTCAGTCAGTCAGTCAGTCAGTCAGTCAGTCAGTCAGTCAGTCAGTCAGTCAGTCAGTCAGTCAGTCAGTCAGTCAGTCAGTCAGTCAGTCAGTCAGTCAGTCAGTCAGTCAGTCAGTCAGTCAGTCAGTAACAACGTAGAACTTCGTACGTACGTACATCAGGTCGAGTTGCCATAACACAACAGCACACAGATACAATTGTCGATTCAATTCCCATATTGGTAGAGGTAATAAATGTATAAGCAGTCATCGTAAACATTAGGGTTTGAAGATGTTATTCAAAGAAAATAATCCAGTGAAATAAATTTGGAAAGAGAAAAACAAGGGATATGAAGAATTCAGAAGATTAGAATTCAGGAGAACACAAAAAATGGATGCACCTACGCCATTACAAGCAATTTTGAGTCATAATGATATAATGATATCGAGTAACAAAAATTCGATGAACAGTTTTAAATCAGATGCCTTATGAAGTACTTAAACTTATTTAAACTAGTAAGAAATAATCTTTTATCATAATGAAATGTATAAGACATTTGTAAGCAATGATGGATAGTGGCTAGCAGTGGAATCCAGGACGCGCGTTTAGTCCTATTTGGGACTCGTCAGCTGGATGTACCTGCATCTCAGAGTTGATGTCCACTCTGGGACTTGAACCCAGTACCATTCGCTTCAAACGCCATCGCGTTACCCACTCACCTACTGAGTCCTAATAGCCACTTGCTTGTGCAATGGCGTGAATTTAAATTCACTTGGTATTGTTTGGCTTGTATATTCCCATTGACTTTTAAGACTGCAATTGACGAGTCTTAAATAGGACGAAACGCGCGTCCTGGATTCCACTGCTAGCCACTATCCATCATTGCTTACAAATAGCTTGTGAATTAAGGTAATATCGAGGCATACGCACAGTATGCACATATGCCAATAACAGACTGATCAATTGCAGTCTTAAACCTCAATGGGAAGATACAAGCCAAACAATACCAAATGTACAAGACATTATTCGAACTAGGAGAGGATTATTCATTTCAATATACATTGTAACTATTTCTTACAAAGTTGTAGAATTCGTGCATATTGTATATATTTAAACCAATTTACAAATTCTTCTTATTCTTCTTCTTCTTACAGGTTATATATTCTGTCATTGTGATACTGATGAATGCCGTGCTTTTGGTTATAAAGAATGTAAAGCAGAATTTTATTGTTATAGTATTTATGAATTAAATTCATTATCAACTAATCATATACAATTGATAAATCGATCAACAGAAATTACTGGTATCTCAATTAGTCGTGGTTGTATATCAAATAGTTTTTTAACAATGTGTACAAAAAAAGAAATTCGTCATAATAAACAATTTAATTCACCATATTTAATTACTCGTTGTTGCAGAGATGCTTGGTGTAATACAGATAAAGTAAAAGTAAGTGAAATTATTGACTATTGAATATAATAAATATTATTGTTTAAATTAATGATTAAAGCATTCATTTTATTAGTTGAGATCATGAGTCAGTAGAAGCTAGACTACCATGGAAAACCTGAAAGCACTAGACGGCCGTTTCGTCCTATCGTGTGACTCTTCAGTAGTGCAGATCCACGATCCCACCTCGCGAGATTCGAACACATGTGCCATCGGTCTCGCACGCGAAAGTTTAACCACTAGACCACTGAACCAGACGCCATCCAACGAAGTTATTGTCTAACGAAATTGAGTGACACATCCACCATTACTATCTCACAACTGACACGGTTGAACTCCACTGGTCACGGCTTCTCACTAGAACTCCAGGAAATCTATCTTGAATCTAATCACTAGTGAGAAAATGTTGATTATTATCAATTTGAACGCATAATTTTACTTTAGAACCAATTATATCCAAAACAAATAAGTAGTAAACAAGGTACTTAACTATAATATAAACACAAAGAAATTGAAAGATAGAAGTAGCATCTGATTTTTTAAATCTGTTTATATAGTTTGATGATAACTGCAAGAGATGTACTGATTATTTCAAGTAATCTAATATCACATAAACAAGCAAGAAAACCTAAAGATTATCTTTTAACACTTCACATTTTAAACGTTAAATTTATAAGCTCGGTATAGTTTTTCTTCTAAATAAATTATGTAACAGACTTTTGAATTGGTTGTAAGTAGTGAAAGAGAAACCTGTATTCGAGTACACATTAATTACCCACTGAAGCTTACTGTTAGCATCGGGCTTGGATTAATGAGTAGCAGTTAGTTAACTGACTAAAATTTGAATAAATTGTCATCTTAAGTGTTTCAGATATCTACCATAAAATGTGAGAATTATAATACAGAATACTGAGTACAAAGAAAACAGTTATAAATTATTTGAAGCTAACAAGCTGTATTCTATTGTTTTCCCATTGATTACGAAAGACTGATTTCATTTATCTTTGATTTGACTCTTCTTTAGTCATTGACAATAGCTTCAACTGACTCATGATTTCAATCTGTGAAATTTTAATAAAGTCAGAACAATAATTGTAAGTCATAGAGCCTAAATTACACTACAAAACAAAAAAAAGAAGTTTCCATTGTCTCTTAAAAGATTTCAACCATAGAATTGAGGATAGGAAAAATGTTTCTAGGAGAAAGGGTTTGAAATTCTTTCTGTATATTACAAAATCAAGTGTTTAGTGTAGTGTCCACAACAATTATAACCATTCTATTGAATTAAAAAAAAAACAAATGTTCTATTAAGATAATTAGTGGGTTAATGTTAGACCACCTTTGAAAACCTGGAAGCATTTGATGGACATTTCATCCTGTATGAGACTCTTCAACAATTCGCATCTATGATTCCGCAAGTGTAACTCGAACATAGGGCTTTTGGTCTCAGTGGCATCAAAATTAGCTTACTCTGTATGCACTATGGTGTACAATAGGTTTATTAATTTTACGAAACTTTTAGAATCATGGACATCCAAGTCATGTTCTGTAATTTTCATCATATATATATACAGACTGATGATAAATTTGTTAAGATCGCATATCTGAGTTGAGTATGATGTCTATATATTGGAGTGAGAATTATAATCACAACTACAATCACAATCACGAAAATGTACTGATTGATTAACTATCAATGACATAATATCTGTAAAAGTCATAAAAACATATATATTATTTTTATATGTTTATTTATATTAAGATTGCTCAAAGTGATTGGTCTTTGCATGAAACAAAACGTTATACACTAGGGGACTATTCTAACTATGACGCTGAACGAATGGGATCGATTAATTCAAAACAACAAACACAATTCAAAACAGGAACAGAAGCATCATCATTGTTGACAAATTCAAAAGATTTTCAACATTTACAAAGTGACCTTCGTTTAACCGATGAAGATTTTTCTGAAAATTTATTAAACTCAAAGTTACTTCATCAAGATGTATCTAAACAAATAAAAATGGAAGATCGGTCTAATGTGATTAATTCTAGAAGAGGAATACGACGAAAAGGAGATAAAGGTATATATCTTTAAAGTGAATCTAAGTATTAATAATAATTTCATTCTTCGAACTTAAGTAGTGATTAATGAAATCCGAAGATGAGACTTTCAAACTTAAATTGAAAACAGACATGTAATTTATTTCTAGAAAATGAATTGTATAATTGACAGAATGAGCATAAGCTATGTCGAAGTGATCTCAAGTTTTACTCAAGTCACCTTTAATTGGTTTCTAAAATTGTTGTTCTTCACTCAAATAAGTAACACTCAGTTACAGTAATATAGAGTGAAATCAGTCTCATGATCTCAACAAATGTTTCTAGGGAGTTCTGATCAGTTTGTTAAGCAATTTACTCAAGCTATCTAACTTCTGTTGCTGAGGTTTCTAGAAATCTAGTTTCATTTTTATAAATTTCAAGAAATTTTACTAAAAATCATATCGTAGTTTATGAGCAACTGGTATTTTGTGAAATGTGTTTACACTAAGAAACTACACAAATCGAACCTAAAAAATTTAAGATGTGAAACATGTATATATATATATGGGGAATTGGAAGCAGACATAATAACATATATATTCTGAAAATGATAATCACAGAATTCATGCCAGTTCAAAGGCATGATCAATTTGATATAAATAGTAACATTAGATGTAGAGAACAAACACGTGATAGATGGTTTTAAGTATGCTAGTTCAGAAGTTGTTTAAGCAGTATATGTATGACAGCAATCCAATGTATCAGCCGGAAACTTTTAATTTTTCTTAAGTGGACAGCCTGTTGATTAATGAATGGTGTGTTTAAGGTCATTTCCTGTGCCAGAACGAATTAATGATAATTATCTACAACTAGAGAAAGTAGAACGAAAATAGAGAGCACGGAACAACAAAGCAATAATTACCGAAATATGTCAATCAGGTCTACCATAATACATGTGTCATGTGACACAGTGATATACTGTTAATGTTAGATATTATTAAAATTAGTTAAGGTTGCTAGGTTCAGGATCAATAGCAACTGGAAAGGATTGCCAAGGAAAGAGTTGGGTGTAGAATGCTGTTGAGCGACTAATGCTCCTCCACGAGGGGTAACAGGTGTAGGTATATATATATATATATCGTGATGATAAATTTAAACACACGTTTATTATTCTCAATAGAAATAAATGTAAAATATTATACACAATATATAAGTTGGCTATACGACTGGCGCTAAATTAACATACACTAGTTACATTTAAAAAAATCCAGTCTCAGCAACGGAAACTTCGAACAATATTTGTTTTTATTCTTATTGAAAATGAAACGGAGTTTGAACGTATATCCGTGTGTATAGATCTCAACTCTGTCAATTCTAGGTCTACAATTCTTTAAACACACTAATTACTAAGATAGGAATTAGAAACAGTCATTGTAGTATATATTACTTTTTATATATCTTCAGTGGTATCTCAGCTTGGTGGAGATGAATTAGCTTATAACTACAAGATTTTTTTATGATAATGAAAATATGGAGAATTCTGTTAGAAAAGAACTAATTAGTGATGAAACCTTGTACTAAACCAGACTTAAATCATCATCTATAACAAACAATTGAGGTTTAGAAAGAATTTGAAGTATTATAAATATACGTTTTACTTACGTGCATAGAATCAATACATGTTACATTGGTCGACATAATCTGTTTTCTATGTTATAATCAACTAAAAAAACTCATTAGAATTTCAGGTTGCTGAGACTAACAATAGGAATAAAATTGACACAGATACTATTTGGTTTATAATGGCTTATTTAAAAGAATTAGAAAAAGGACTGAGTTATGTCTTACTTATTTGTTCATTTTCCCCACTTTTTCATGGTAATGAAGAACTAATATTAGTATCATAAATTATTATTATTACTGTGAAAATGTGTTGAATGAATCTGGCATAAATTCTTCATTGTTAACCGATTCAGGGTAGTGATTTAGAACGAACAATTCGATTCTCAAAAGTACAATACACATTCGAGTACATTTTTATGTCTCAATAATTTAGTTTATCTCTTTTCAACGTATACCTCAAAACTTAAAAGTTGTTTTTTTAAGTAACATAATCATTATACGATGCTTAACAAGGTTTCAACATGAGTTAAATTGATAAGGATGAGAATTTTTCAAGGAGCATCAGTTCCTTCAGGATTATAATTATGTTTTGCGTGATTAGTTCCAACTAAAATAAAAACTGGATTCAATGCATTTTATCAATTAAATCTAATTACTTAACATCATAGAAGGTGTATCTTAATCCTGGATAACCTAGATTATTCGTTAATAATGAGCATCATATGGAAAGGTCTTTGTTGTTTAAACTTCAAGCCAGATATCTTATTTTCCTAACCATTGACTGTCTGTACATACAGCAATACATGAATGCTAAAATGATATAATCACTTTATTAGTAAATATTATTGATAGTACTACTAGTAGTAGTAGTAGTAATATTAGTAGTGAAACCAAGTACAGTACAAAATGTATTCATACAAATAAAATGATTAATAACACCCTTTCAGCTTATCTTAATCATAGATAAACATTTTACTTTAGTAAGAAAAAAAAGAACATCACTTTCATTTTTGCCAATAACATTCAACCTTTTACTAGAATGATATTTTAATGATTAAAGTATGAATCAGTTAATCAGTTATAACATTTTACTTGATATTTTGTTAAATACCATCATTGCCATCACCATCATCATCATCATCATCATCATCATCACCATCATCATTAACATCATCAACATCAACATCATCTTTAATAATATCACCATCCTAATCATTGTAATTGTAGTTTACTGATTATATGTAAATGTTAACTAATTGTTTCTGATCCAAACTAATTAATTTATCTAAAAGAGTATTGTCTAGAAAAAAAATTAATTGTTTAGTACTGATAACAGTAAAGAAATAATAATAATTATCATAGAAAGTTAAGATAAATTACTTCTAATCAAACTAATTTACCAGAGAGTAGTAAGATAAATGTATGTATCTTAAGAAATGAATATTCATTTAAGTTAGATCCATTTTTGAGATTTTGTTTTTTAGCAAATGTATCGACATAAAATTAACTTTTCTCATTTGTATGACATGAATTAGACGTAGAATAAATGAACATTCTCTTTTGAATACACGCTTAAAGGTACTTGGTGTTATTTTGCTTGTATCTTCCGATTGTTATTCAAGACTGAAAAATTGATCAGTCTGTAATTGGCATGTGTGTATACTGTGTGGATTGCCTTTATATAGCCTTAAATCACAAGCTTTTTAAGCAAATATGGATGGTGGCTAACCATGAAATCCAGGACGCGCGTTTCGTCCTATGTGGGACACGTCAGCTGGATATACCTGTATCATAGAGTTGATGTTCATTACGGGCTTAAAGGGTTAGCTGAAATATATGCAGATTAATCTGAAAGTGTAATAATTCATGTAGCATGTTTAAATGTATTAAAATGTAGTTTCCTGTAGACCACTTAGCTAACGACACCAAATAACTCTCATTCAATGGTTGTTACAAGGTAGCGTTAGAACTCTAGTACAAAGGATTGTTTGTATGAATGTATTGTGAAATCTAGGATTAAATATGTATCGTACACTAAATATAACGAGCATAAAATTATAGAGTAAATTTGGCTATCTTCAGTTAAATATGTCAGTTCATTATATCAAATATTCTTTAGAACTATTAAGTGTTTTTACCTTATAGATCAAATGTTATATATTCAGTAGTAAACTAATATGTTATGAGTATAAAAGTCATCATTATTCACATTAACATGTAAACCAGCTTCATTACTTACAACTAAACATTTTTGTCAACAGACCTTAATTGACATAAATACCAGTTGAATAAATAACAAACACTTAGGTATATTTTAGTTAACTTATAGTAAGCATACATATATATTTGTATTCATATTTATATATGATGTAGTCGTGTTTGATGAAATCGAACCTCTGTAAATGTGTATGATAATTTGAACTGAAAAACGTTTAAGTTGTGGCAGTAAATACAACATTTTGCCTTTAGGCACTATTGTAGTGAATGAGAACATAAATGTAGACAATCGAATGTATTTGAATACTAAATTACAGAATCTCTTAGTAAAATCTAAGAACAATACAGTATATTCTTCATTTGCAAAATGTCAATCAATTGTCTCAGACTTGACTGATTCTTCTTATCCATGCCAATTACTCTTTATTCTCGTTCTCTTCTGTTCGATCTTAACCTTCTGCTACTAGGTATTTCACTTTCGATTCATGATACATACTACTTATATCTATCGACATTAGTAGCACACACCACACTACTTTCAGAAACTCATCTATCAAGTTATGAAACAAGATTGAAAACCATGTCTTAATTTTTCTTTCACTATCGATGATTATCTTGCTTTAATTTTCTCATATTCAAAGAGTAGCAATTTGTTATATCCGCGGAAATGATTAATTGACTTGGTATTTGGTACAGGAAATCATGAATTGAATAAAACAAGTAAGAATAAGAAGGCGATAAATAGAGATTTATTAGGTTTCTATTATAAATTAAAATGATGCAGGAATACACAGCTGTTATATGTTTTATTTAATCATATAAACAGATGAATTTGTATAATTTGAACTGTATACTATTTAACACTATCTAACCAATAATTCATTGTGTGAATACAGATTTACAATATCATACAATTAGGCGTATATAACTAACAGATATAATTCATTGATCGAATTATATAATTACTCCATAAAATGTGATTACATGTTACAGACGATTGGATAAAACTGATCCCAAATATCATCCGCCCCACAATCGATTAATTCATTGGTCATCATATCAAAATTTATTTTGACTGTATAAATAGTTTCTATAATGGATTTACATCTGATTAGAGATCGAACCAAGGAAATTTTCATTCAGCAGTTGCTATGATGATTGTCTGATAATATTGATCATGACATACAAAATCATTTATTAC